CTGAAGTCAATGTCACAAATAGCCTTCCCTCCCTCTGCCCCATGGTTCACCCTCTCCCCAGCCCTACAGAAACCTCAGCCTGTGAGGGAAGTTGGCTCATTAGCTTTCTGTCTTCTAACGAGAGCGGGTCTCAGGTTTACACAGCTGTTGAGCTGCCTCATCTGTCTTGTTTTTACAAAGGGCCGTAGAAACCCCCACAGCAAACTGTGGAGCCAAAATGTCAAAGAACCCAGGAAAGCTCCTGGAAAGAAATGTCTGTCAGTTGAATCTTTGACAACACTCAAGAGGCTTCGGAGATCTTCTTTGGGTAAGATTGAACCCAAAGGAACCAGGCAAGGATCAACAGACAAAAGTAAAGAAAAGGACAATAGAGAATCCTTGATAGATGATGTCAAGAACCTCCTGAAACTTCCAAAGTGGAACCGTGAATCACTAGACAACATACCATGTATCAAGAGACTGCTGAGAGCTCTTGTGGGAAGTCCAAGAGATCCTGGAGACATTAAAAAGCTTATAGACACACCCGTTTTAGAGAATTTGCTTTATGGGAAGAAGTTCTTAATATAGATTCAGATATAACAGAAAGCAGAACTCCCGCCTGGAATACCTGTCATACAGAGTTGTTGTAGTTCTTCCAGTTCAAGATGCTTGCATAAGTTTTCAATCAAAAGCACATGTAGAAGACCATCTAAAACTCTGACCATCAACAATACTGATCACCAACAATATTGGTCACTGCCATCTAAAACATTGGCCATCTATAACATTGACTATCTACAACATTAACCACCTAAGACACTGACAATCTATAATATTGACTATCAACATTGATCATCTATAACACTGACCATCTACAACACTGACCATCTATTACATTGACCATCTATAACATTGACCATCTAAAACATTGACCATCTGCAACATTTTAAAATGAAATGTTGAGCCAAGTAGGTGTTATTTTATTGAAACTGTCAAGCAATAAAGAAAAGGTCAGTTGAAGACTTTCTGGGACAGAGACATGCAGAACAGAACCAAAGGAAAAATGATGTTTTCAAGTAAAATACATTAACAGTGGAGACACATTCCATAAAGAAGAAAAAAGGGATGGACTAGGATCCCAGTCAAGAAGACTCGTGTGGTCTTTGTGACTAAGAATCCAGAACTATCCAGTGAAGGCACACACCTTTGATCCCAGCACTCAGGAGGCTGAGGCAGGCAGATCTCTGTGAGTTTGAGGCAAGCCTGGTCTACAAAGAGAGTTCCATTCAGAACAGGGAGAACTATTAGAGAGAGAAACCCTGTCTTAAAATAAGAAGAGGAGGAGGAGGAGGAAGAGGGAGAGGGAGAGGGAGGAGGAGGAGGAGGAGTAGAAGAAGAAGAAGAAGAAGAAGAAGAAGAAGAAGAAGAAGAAGAAGAAGAAGAAGAAGAAGAAGAAGAAGAAGAAACCAGAGAATCTAAAGCCAATGTCTCTGAAGCTATAGACAAATGATGAAGGACCTGCAACCGTGTTAGTCATCAGACAAGATCAGCCCTAAACATGAGTTTCAGAAGTGTAAACATCTGTCTATTCATACATTGTGCAAAGATGAGAGTAAAGAATTAGATTAATTTCAAAAAAGGCAAGTTGGAGAATGTCCCTTTATTCCAGTCACAAATGTGGGATTCATAGATGACAACAGAGGTCTTAGGTTGCCTCTATGAAAAAAAAAAAGGATTCCAGATACAGATATTATGAGGAGCTTCTAAAAGCAAGGGCTGGAAGATGTGAAGTCTGTCAGTGAGTGGAGCCTGAGGGAGAGGCAAACTTGCCATGGCACTTCAGAAATCTGGCAGCTGGCTAGTCCAACAAGGATCGTGTGTGTCAAGGAATATGACAATCTGATGAAGAGTGTCCTGGCTAGTTTGCCTTTTTTAAAAAAGAAGATCAACGTGACACACACTACAGTCATCTGGGAAGAAAAGAACCTCAATTGAGAGGCTGCTCTCATCAGGTGAATTTCCTGTAGTGGGGTGTTTTCTTTATTAATGGTTGCTATGGGGGTACCCAGCCCACTGGTACCACTCCTGGGCAGATGGCCCTGGGCCGTATAAAAGCTGGGAGAGCCATGAGGAGGAAGCCAGAAAGCAACCTCCTCCATGGTTCCTGCCCCTACTTACCTCAGAGACAGACTGTGCCCCAGACAGGACCAGTTAGCCAAATAAACCTTTTTCTTCCCAGATTGCTTTTGGTTATAGTATTTATTGCAGCAGTAGAAAGCAAACCAAAATGAAGAGTTTGTATAAAAATTAAACCTATATAAACCAAGACATGACACTTTTAAGACCTAGAAAAATAATCAAAATTAATTTTGATCTGGTAACATCTTTGGTTGATAATGAAAATAAAACTCATATAAACTGAAGAACAAATGAATATATCTGGAATGTTCTAATCCTTTATCTAATGAAATAAATATGTCCAACAAACAGGCAAAACTTAATTCTTAATGAATTAATTAAATTAGAAGATCATATGGAAACATTAAAACCAGGGGTAGTTTCTAGCCTATTCAATAAAACAGATACTGTGAACAGCTTACTAGACAACATGATGAAGCATGTAAGAGATAACAATCATCAAATTACTTTTGAGATCTCCAGGCTTCATAGCGTATAACAGGAGGATGGGATCTTTTATCCAGTACAGCAATAGTCTGTTGGCAAGCAAGATGACTTACCATCACTTAGATAAAATGGTATGTACCAAGGAAAACACAAAGCAGACTGTGAGAAAAACTGAGCAGAAAGACACAGCAGAATATATGTATGTATTTACATACATACATATATATGTATACACACATATATGTACAAACACATATATACACATATATAGTTTGGAAGCAAAATAAGGTCCTTGTTATGAAAAAATGCAAAGGACAAATTATTTTCCCCAATGTAGCAAAGAACATATATTTGGAGCAACATAGGGAGAAGTGTTGACCATCCTTTCCAAAATACTTCGATGAGGAACAATAAATAAATAGATGTCAGGGTCTATTGTGCTTGAGAGCTAGAAACATTAAGATCTCATCCTTTACCCAGAGAGCAAGAGAGAATTCTAAATAAAAATCGAAGGGGAAAACATTTATAGTCCTTTTAATGGACAAAGAGGCCAAACTGATCTGGCTCAAAATGCAAGCTCACAGAAGTCAGACACAGAGTAAACAAAGAAAAAACACTAGATAAATACCGATCTGGAAGAGTTCTGTGCAAAGGGTGAAGCTGTACCCAGAGTGTTGCTGGGTTACACACGGCGGTGAGGACCAAGCGTAGATGCCTTGGGAGACACCTTAAAGACAGCACAGAGCAAGCTTGGAGCACAGGAGAGGCTAGAGAAGCATAAGATACCACAGCAATGGGTGTATCTAACCCCATTTAACCAAGACGCTCAGGGGGAAGCTGATACTATTTGAATTACTGACAAGCATTAAGTGTCATTCTACCCACCACTCCCATGGGGTGACTTTTGTGACAAAATTAAAAGTGAATTTTGTAAGTAAATGTATATATTTATATAAAATCAGCTTCTATATGATCTTGTGGATAACCAATGTGCTGGTTTGTTTAGCACTTGGTTTTTTTTATAGTGTTTTAAAAGGTAGTGCTACAATTTTTCTGTGATTGGCCAATGAAAGGAAAGAAGGTTTGTTTTACTGCTAATGGGATTCTTGAGCCACTTTGGAGAGCTAGTTAAGGCTTGCTACTCAGAATCCAACACACATCACTGTTGCTCTCAACCAGGAAGTCCAAGTTATTTACAATTTATAAAACGTCATTTCAGAATATTGTATAGATCTGGACATCATATTTGTGCTTACAACGTATCAGTTTCAGCTCTGAATTGTTTATTAATTTCTCTTGAGAGAAACTGTATACAAAAAAGAACATCAAGGTACTTAGCCTCTTGCCTTTTAAACTGTTAAGCGAGGCCATTTCCTTCATATTCCCTTTGGACTTTACAACTGAGTCCCTTTCCTTGTGCCGTACACCTCACGCCTTCTGGCGTCATTGCCAATGCTACTGTCACGGCTGGAGGACCTTGGCATTTGCTGAATGCTTTGACTAATGACTTTTAAAGCTCATTCTATTTCAAGACACTTTCCCTTTGATTGTAATAGTGAACACTCATAACAAATTGATTTTACACAGGTAGAGGTTACAGACATGTACATTATGCGTATGTATGTATGTATGTATGTATGTATGTATGTATGTGCGTATCTAGCGTGTAAACGTCTAAATTCCAAAAGACTTATCATACTTGGAGCTATTGTTGTTAGTATTGATGAGAAGAAAAGAAACAAGTCTTTTCAGGAAAACGTGGCACTCTTGAATACATTTGACTAAGATATAGATGGTCTAAAAGTAAGCACATTTGGGGGGGTGGAGAGATGGCTCAGTGGTTAAGAGCACTGGCTGCTCTTCCAGAGGATGTGGGTTCAACTCTCAGTACCCACATGGTAGCTCACAACTGTCAATAACTCCTGTTCCAGGGGATATGACACTTTCACACCAATGCACATAAAATAAAGTTTTAAAAAAGAGCCAAAAGTAAGCACATTTTTGTATTAATTGTACTGATAGTGACATATAACACAGATTTACCATATCTGAGTAACATAAATATATAATTCAGTATAATTGTGTTTGATTAAATCTTGTATTGTGTTTTCAATTAGTAAAATCTCAACTCCTAATTTTTGTCCGCCAATTCACAGTTTAAAATTGCTTTTAAACAAGAGATAATATTTCATACACAGTCATAAATCTAATAAAATTGTACAAAGATAGCCAGATGTGGTGGCTCACACCTACAGTCTCAGGACTTGGGAGGCAGGGGCATCAAGACCAAGGCAAGTTTGAGGCCAGCCTGCTGCAGAGTGGGTGAGTCCCAGATCAGCCTGGATTACAAACGGAGATCCTGTCTTTAAAAAAGAAAAAAAATGCACAGAGAAATGTTTTAGTGGTTTTCTGTTTTAATGCACTTCCGATGGTTTTCTTTAATGACAGGGTCAGTAGCTTGAGACATTTAAAGCAAACTATTATTTTATTATAATTAATACATTAAAAAATTTGCCAGGATGCCAGACATTTTCAATCAGCCTTTAAAAGTTAAAAGTAATCAAATCTTTAAAAAAATTCAAATCAGATACTTGAAGATCTCACAGGCCTGTCCAGCTTCTTCTATCACAGACCCCTGTGGATAATCTTTGACAACTGGTACTATTCACACTTCTCCAGGGAAGGCTGTATTCCTTTTAATCCTTTCCTTTCATGCTGGCTAAGCTGCCACAGCTATATGGCATACAACGTATACATTGTACACAGGTAATACCATGTGTACATTATATATGAGGCATTAAATGTGTCCCTTTGCTTAAAGAGAATGTCCCAGAACTAGTAAAATGATACTGCTGAATTTTAAGAAAGATGGGTTAGGGGAACCTTTTGCACATTACCGCAGAGATACAGGTTAAACAAAGTTACAATTCTGTTTACTATGTTTGGAATCACGCTGCAGAATGTATCCTAAAAGAAAAATAAAGAAGGAAATAATGCAAGCCATTTTGTTTCATGGTGTGTCATACATGCACCAACGTTCTTTTTCCATATAATTGCATGATAGATGATACTGGGAGATTACACAGTTATTATAAAAATTATGTATTATGCTTCAGTACTAAAAATAAAATATATTCTCAAATAGTGAAAATAAGATATCCTTCATGTTTTTATGTCGCATGTCCTGTTTGACCATCCCCACACCTTTAATGAAATAATGTCCAACACTGTATTAAACAATGACAGAATGCCGGTGACTTCTTGATGGTTACGGGCCTAAAACAGAACAGTGATTACCCTGTCAATTTGTTGAACTAGCTTCTTGATGTGTTTAGTGCATGACAAAATATAAAAATAAAAGACAAAATAAACACTTTTACTGACAAGCCCAAAAGTTCATCGGTACCAGATTATAAATACGTTCTGGACTAATGGGTTGCTACACCTTGCAGCAACTAAACCATCCATCATGCTATCCCTCCCCCACCTAACTGTGAGCCATCAGCTGTGACTATTTGACAGGTCAGGAAGACACCCAAGGGTTTTGTGGGTCCTTCTCAAGAAAGGGATCCCATCACAGCCAAGCGCTGCCTCCACAGACCCGCATGCAGCAGTCACTGGTCGTGGCCCAGAGCCAATGGCCTCACCATCCAGTCCTAGGAGACTGGGACCTGTCCAAGCAGAGGGCGAGGAATGGACCTGCGCTCCTTCCTTTTCAAACATAAAGCAAGCTGAGGGTCTTTAGCCACACCGACGGTTTACGCGTTCTTTTGGATTGGAGAAGCAGGCACTTACAGTGAACACGGGTAGGCATGGCAGAAGGAGGGGACGGGGACGACCGTCCAAGAGGAGCTGCGAGCTAGCTCAAAGCCCTCGCCCCCGCCGAGCTGCCCAGCCTTGAGCCCAAAGAAACACAGAAAAACACAGGATCCCCAGGGAGCGAGAGGGAGGGGGCTGACCCCAACCCAGGCGTAGGGCGACATGTGCAGGGATGGTCAAAGGCGGCCAGTGGCGGCTGCCAACACACCAGCTGTTGCGTACCACACGGAGCTCCCAGCCTCAAACGGTCCGGGTGATCCCTGTGAGGCTGCGGGCGTTCAGATGAGCGGGAAGCGGCCCTGACCGCCGTCGGGGTCCCCGGCACTGCCGCCTCGCGGATGGCCCAGCACCGACACGGGCAGCACGACCTCGGCAGGGCTGAGCTGCTGCAGCCGCATGGACTCTTCATAGGTGGGCAGGTACTTAACCTCCTCGTAGCTGGGCAGCTGGAGGAAGACCGGCGAAACCACTCGCAGCTCGTGCTCCGAAACGCAGGAAGGAGGCAGACGTCCGCCACTTCCCCGGCCCCGGCCGCCGCCGCTGTCCAGCAGTGAGTCCTGCGAGCCCGCGGCCACCTCGTCGCGCAACAGGGCAGGCGAATCGTCGTCGTCGTCGGGTGGCCCCGCGGTCCCCGGCGGCCCGGAGTCCCCGGCAGGCCCGGGTCGAGCCTGGCCAGGGCGCGCCTGGCCACGCGGGTACCTGCGTGGGCTGGGGCAGATGATGCGCTGCAGGAAGTAGCCGATGGCGAAGAGCACCAGCAGGATGAGCAGCCCAGAGAGCTTGCGGACGAACCAGCCCACGTTGTCCAGGAAGGCGTGGAGCGGCAGCTTGCAGCAGCGCACGGCCGTGGCGTTGGCCGAGTCGCAGCAGCGCTCCCGCTCCCCGCACGCCAGCTCCGCGCAGCCCCCGCCGCCCCGCGAGGGCGCCACCAGCGCCAGCGCCAGCAGCAGCAGCAGCGGCAGCAGCGGTGGCGGCGCCGGAGCCACCGACAGGCCCTCGGCCGTGACCCCCGGGCCCCACATGGCCGGTGCAGACCTCCGCCGGCGTCCGGGACCGCGAGGCTCGGAGCTCCGTCTGGCGGCGCGGCCGGGCGCTGCGATGGGTCCCGCGCGCGCCACCTCCCGCGCCCCGGCTACCTGCGGCCCGAGCGGTGCTCACTTGGCCACGCCGGGGCGGGAGGAGGAGCCCGGGGTGCGCCGAGGCTGCGGGAGGCGGCTGCCGCTCACCGCCGGAGTCGCCTCGGGAGCTTTTGACCTCGAGCCGGGGCGCCGGGGCGCCGGGGTCCCGGGGGAAGCGTGCGGAGCCGCGGGGATCAGCAGAGGTGGCCCGCGCGGGGTCGCTCTGGGCATCTCGGCCGTCGCCGGCCGCGCTCCTCCTCCCGCACCTGGGCACCCCGCGGCGCTGGAAGGGTTAAGGCTGAGCTCTCAGCCCGGGAGCCCCTTGATCTTGATTAATTCAGCCGGCGCGCTCTGCCCCGCCAGGCGGGCGGGGCGCGCTCTCTCGCTAGCGTAGGTGTCTCAGTTTTAAGTGATTGGATTTCCCCGGGAATACTATTTAAATTGACTCGCGACCGGGTTTCGCTTACCATCTTTCTTGTGATCTTTCTATTAAAAATGGATGATGGCTATTAGTGGCCGTGCAGTCCCATTGCTGCCCTAAGGTTCCGGGGTAGGAACTGCTGGATAGTTCTGCTGCCAGGTAGGTCCAGGTTGTTGGGAAGCGGGACCCTAAGAAACTCCACAACAGGTAAGAGAATTCTTTGGAGAAGCTCAAGTTACAGCCACAGAAGTAGCCCCAGAGGGACTGAGAAGTTGTCTTGAGGCGACCCCGGCTCACCCAGGAGAAGGGAGAGGCTTACCCGACCCATCCCTCCGCTCCACTACGCCCAAAGTGCAGAGCAGGGATTTGAGTTGCAGGGTGCAAGGAGCCCCCTCCGGCAGCACTAATACCCGGTCTGTGATGGCGGAGGGGAGCGGTAAACCGCTGGCCAATTTCCTGAGCAAAATGTGAAGGACCTTTTCAAGGTTATTCTTGTTTGTAAAGTGTGACTCTAAAGGAAGCTTATGTTTCCGCTTAGTACTTGGATCAGTTTGCCTTCGTGCCACCAAGCGCCAGGGAAAGCCTCGGAGCACCCAGACCCCCTGGGCACATGTGTCCACATGGGTGGTGGAGCCCAGGAAGAAGCCACTTTGACTGAGGCGGTATAAAGCAGACACACTGACACCGGAGGACGCCCTGCAGAGAAAAACTAATAGGGGGGCGGGGCGGTCAGGGTCATTGTGAGAAAAAGTGAGTCAGAGGACAGACAGAGAACCGACAGACTCAGCTCTGAGCCAAGGTTTCCCTCCTGAAAAACACAAACAGATAAGCCAGGGATGGGTACGGGCGGGGTTGATGGAGACGGGCCATGGCCCAGCCTAAATGAAGTCTCTCCTAAAACTTCTATTGGTGGGAACACCTCGTTTTGCTTCAACTTCTAAACGATGCTTTCTCTTCCTGGAGAAGTGTCTCAGTGTCACTCGGACAAGATGTCCCTGAGCACGGGGGATTTTCTAAGCTTTTGTGAAGCTGAAACGTCTCTCTGGTCATTACAGGGAGAACTGAGCGCTAGTCCCTAAAGCTTAGTTGACTGCTTTCAACTGCCAGATAGGCAGGTGGGAGAGATTTGTTTGAGTCACTGCCGGTTTGTGCTGGTTTTTGTTTCACAGTTCCGTACACTAAGTATGTTATGTGTTCAGGGAGCCCTGCTGGGTGCTCGCCATCATTGATAAAATAAATGTAAAAACAAATGCCTCCCAAGAATGGACCCAGTCCTGCATTCCCTTCTCAGCTGAACAGAGAACAAAAGCCGATGTCTTCCGTCGCTGGCTTCACCGTAGTCTCCCGGATAGGAAAGCTCTTGGCTTGAGATGGATGGGGAGGACAAAGGGAGAGAATTGCGGGTCTCTTTAGGCTTTTAGAGTCGGAAGTCTTGGGATCTCTGCCAGGCACAGTGGAAACAATGGCAGAAAAAAAGTTTTGTGGCTGATAAAAAGCGAGGGTGGCTGCTCGCTGCGGTTTTGAAATTTGAAACAAAAGCATTGAAGTTTAAGTTACATTTTATATACCTATTTTGGGGAGTGTCTATTTGGGAGTCATATATTTTGGGGGGGAAGGGGGTCTATTCTCTCCTTCCCCCATGTAGGTTCCAGGAATCAAACTCATGTCTCTGGCCTAGGCAGCAGACACTTTTTACAGTTTGAGCCATCTCACTGGTTTCTACACAATAAATTGTGTCCTTTCTGTCTTCTTGTAATGAGTTGGAATTTGTTTGCAGAATTTTAGGACACAGTTAAAGAACACAGGCCCTCTATAAGATAAAACACCGAGAAGCCATGCTCACAGGGAAGCAAAGAATAAGCTCTGGAAAATGAGCATGGGGTGGGGTTTTTATGTCTGCTTTCCAAACGGATGGTCCCAAAGCCTCGTCCATTGGATCCCTCTACAGAAACCGGTGCTCGCCATTCTCAGAGCTCTCTCTTTCACGTAACCCATCTTTATTTGCAGTGTGATGTATTGTGTACAGCCCATTCATGGAAAGAAAAGAAATCCTAGTGCTTTCAAAGCTTCACAAGAGCATTGCTCATTACTCAGATTCTTTAAAAAAATATATCTAGCCGGGCGGTGGTGGCGCACGCCTTTAATCCCAGCACTCGGGAGGCAGAGGCAGGCGGATCTCTGTGAGTTCGAGGCCGGGCTGGACCGATAGCCCCCGAAACAATACAGAGAAACCCTATCTCGTAAAAACCAAATATATATATATATGTATATATATACATATATATATCTAACATACAAATAGAGCAAGCCACTTATCGAGGAAGATGGTTAATTACATGTTCCATAGGGAAGAGCATATTTTGTTAAAAATTGCAGCAGATTGTGTTAATAAGCACATATGACGGGGGCAACAGGTAGTGAAAGGTGACCATCATAGTTTAAAGTAATTGAACCCCTTAAACTTATAGGGACTGTAGCTATTAGGAGCCTTGTTGGAGTGGGTGTGGTCTTGTTGAAGGAAGTGTGTTGCTGTGGGGGTGGGCTTTGAGGTGTCTTTAGCTCAAGCTTTGCTCAGTGACTCTGAGTCTACTTCCTGTTGCCTGCAGGATGTAGGACTGTAAGCTCCTTCTCCAGGACAACATTTGCCTCCATGCCACCATGCTCACTGCCATTGCTGCAGCTGTGGTGATAATGAACTGAACCTCTGCAACTGTCAGTGAGCCCGCTCAATTAAATGTCTTCCTTTTAAGAGTTTACATGGTCATGGTGTCTCTTCACAGCAATAGAAACCCTAAGACAGTGACTGACTTTCATCCAAAAAGCATGGTGTGTTGAAATATAGCTTGCTAAAAATTAGGAACATTGTGGGCTGGAGACATGGCTCAGTTGGTAAAACTATTACTGTGAAAGCATGAGGAACTGAGTTTGGATCCCTAGCAGCCATGTAAAATGCTGGGTGGGCCAGGTAGGCAGCCCACAGGTTTGTCAGCTGGCCATGTAGCCAAAGTAAAGCTCTGGGGTTAGCAAACGATCCCCCCCAAATAAGGTGACTAGCAACTAAGGAAGACATGTGATGTCAATCTATGGCTTACATATGGGCACACATGAATGTATACTTACATACAAATGCATGTACACACAAACAGGCACGCTTAAGAACATGAGCTGAGCTGGTCACAGTGGCATACGTGTTCCTGGAAGCTGTCCTGATAGATTGAGTAAAACCAAGTGTATCCATCATGAAACCATCATATCACCCGGACACAGAATGGCATTTCCTCCCTTGTGTCTGCTGACCAGGGGCTTTTGCCCTCAGGCCCAAGACACAACAACCGTAACCTTTTCATGGTCCTTCTTCAAAATGTCTAGGCATGGGTGGTTTGGAAGTATAAATGATCCAGTGTGTAAGAAGTTCTCAGCATGAGCAGCATGGTCCCTCTTATTGATATTACTGTAATTGATTTATTAAATACCCTCCTTTTGTAGAGTCCCTGCACTTGTAATAAGTCTTCCCTTAATAACAGTTATATGTATTTGCATGGATGTGCCTTCCTAGAAATGATTTGTGGCCTTTGATAATCTGCTTTGGAGGGTTTTTAAAAAGAATTTATCATATTTCTTCCATCGCTGACTCAATAAATATTTAATGTGACCCTTCTCTGAGCTAGATGCTCCATCCCACTCTGGGAATGTTATGAAATCAAGCCCTGCTCTGTCTTCTGGGAGCTTCTTGTAGAGGGATTAGGACACAACAGAAAAACAATCAAAATATTGAATTGACATCCCATTGATGAATGCCTATGATGGAAAAGTTCGAAGTTCTCAAGTTTTTTACCCTGGCCTGTTACGGGGATGACATGGGCTTGGAAGACCTCCCCAGAAAACACCTCTATAAAACAGGACAAAAAAAGCAGGAGGCAGGAATCGCTAGGCAAAGGAAACTTTAAAAAGAGAAGTCTTCAGGGTGGCAAGATCCTTCATGTGACATCTCTTAACTCTGGAAGAAGCAGGGTAGCTTCTATTGCAGCATTTGCCACTATAGATAGGTTTTAAGTAGCTCCCCTACAACTAGAAGTTTAAATCCAGCCTGCTTTCCCCCAGTGGTCTAGGTGGTGATTGTTATCTTTAATTCCCTTGGAGACCAGGGGGAGATCACAGGATTCCCTGTCCTTCATGTCTTCCCATCCTCGACACGGATAGAATTTAGATTTCCTCTTTCAACGTTATGAATTCCCAAATAGTCAACAAAAGGTTTCTTTAAGCCACATGTAGGAGAAAAATCAAAGTCACATGCTTTGGCTCCTCTGTTTAAATGATGTACAAAGAGAAAGGGTGTTCTTCTACCAGGAGGATTGAAGTCAGAAACAAAGGGTCGAGAAACTACAGGCCTGTAGGAATGTAAAATACCTGAATTTTACTGGGGATGTAGCTCATTGGTAAAGTACTTGCTTAGTGTGTACAAGGCCCAGGATTCAGTCCCTAGAACAAGAGACAGACAGACAGACAGATAGACAGACACACAAAATAGCTTAGTGCCAGTACTGAAAGTGAAACCCAAAACCTACCAGTCTAAGTCTACCTATAAATGCTGAGTGGGCATCTCTTCCCCTGTTGAGTTGGACCAGTGTTGGGAGGGACAGTGTTCTTCATAGCTCCTGAGGCATGGAAAAGACAGGTTATAAGACCAGTGAGGAAGCTGGTGTCCTTTAATCCCAGCACTCAGGAGGCAGAGGCAGGCAGCCTGGTCTAGTGTGAGTTCCAAGACATCCAGGGCTACAAAGGGAAATCCTGTCTCAATGTCTCAACCCCCTCCCCCAAAAAACCACCAAAAAACAAAAGAAAGACAGACTCATGAGGGAGAAGCTGGGGTTAGTCTAGACCATGAATGTGAAATTCTTCTGAAGAAATAAAAAGTTACTGCTGTCATTTTATGGACCCATTGTTAATGCTTTAGGTAATAATGTGACAGACTAGCTGTTTTTGTTTTTATTTCTGCAAACAAATAAATTCTCTCTTCCATTACAATTGATCCTTACCAATGAACCAATAAACACAAAATTATATATACTTTTGAAAATAAGGATATGTTGGATTCTAGAGCAAATAAACATGCAATATTATTTACTAATAAATTATTATATTAATTATATATGTGTTTTTTGTTGGGCTTGAACCCAGGGCTTTGCACATGCTGGGCAAGAACTCTACTTCTGAGCTCAGCCACCAGCCCTGAATTTACTTTTTTAAAGACTTATTTATTTTTATGTGTTTGTGTGTGTGCCTGAATGCATGCGTGTACAACACAACTATGCAGGAGATGGAAATTCCAGAAAAAGCTACCCAGACTCCCCAGAGCTGAAGTTCCAGTCGGTTGTAAGCCCACGATGTGGGAACTAACCCTGACTCCACCAAAAGAACAGTGGGTGTGTGAACAGCTGAGCCCTCTCTCCAGACTCCAGCCTGCAGGCAATTCCCAGATCAGCCTTGGCGAAAGCTTGGCCGCATTCACGTTATCGCTAACAGTATGGAAACTAAACCATAAATATTATGAGAATTATTTAGCGAGGCCCTGGCTATTTGAAATTAAAATTCTTGTTCCCATAGCTGAACGAATTTCTTTCTCATGTTCCTTTTAAATTAATTGTTAGCTTGTTGAAGTTAGAATGTATTTTTTCAGAGGACGATAGAGAAGCCAAATGCTCACGTTGGCAGAAAAATCAGATGGCATGAAATTATTTCTTCTTATGAGGTGAAACGTTTTTATGCTCCATTATTCTCACTTGATGCTGGTAATATACCTTTGCCTCCATGTAACAAGGGGGAATTGCCTGTCACATTCTACTGTGTGCATTCTCTGTAACCCCGCATGCATCACGCAGCAGCTGCCCACGCTCTGCCCCTGCTCAGGCTTTGTCCTCACAACAGCACTAGTGGCATACGTCTGAACTTGTCTCTGGTGATGATGCAGAGCAGGGTGGTGGAGGGGACACATGGCATGGGGGGCCGGAAGCAGAGAGAGAGGGACTCAACCAGACAGCCACCATGCTACGCCACTTCCTCCATCCAGGCTTGTCCTCCCAACACTTCCACCATCTCCCAAAATTGCTCTACAGAGTGGGGACCAAGCCTGCAAGACAGGATCCTTTGTGGGGCAGATTCCATATGTAAGCTCTAGCAAGGGCTGAGGTCCATCTAGCCAGCATTCTTCTCCCTGGGCTGAACATAGTAAACAGTTGTCCTCTGAGACACCTGTCTCAGAACACTGGGAATCTACCCCACATATCTGAAGTTTCTCCTGGCCATCCCCATTGAAGGTGGAGCCCAGGGTGGATTTGAAAAGGCGCCTCAAACACGCTCAGCCTTCTTTTCCATCCCTTCCAGCACCTTTGCCCAGTAAGAGACTGCCGACACAGCTTCTCAGCAGTCTCATGCTGCGTCCTCCTCCCTGTCTCTGCAGGTCTCCAAAGCCTTACTCATCCCAGCTCCACCTTCCCCAGCTGGCAGTGGACTTCCCTCTTCACGGAGCCCTTTAGAACCATCTCCTGTGGGTGGTGATTCTCGTCTTCTGCCTCCTGTTTCTGGTGGGTTATGTGTACATTGTAACCTCGGGAGTTTTAGAAATACGCTTCTGTTAGAAATGTGTTCTGTTTGAAATCCGTGAGGCTAAGTTCTCAGATGTTCATTTGCGGGTACCACCTTAGACCTTCTTGTTAGAATAGCCTTCTGACCGTAAGACTGCTGGACACAGTCCTAGACCCACAGTGTCCTTCTTCCTGACAGGCATTACCCATGCAGGTACAGACCCACCCGGACTGAAATGAAGGCAGCACATTCATGGATGCCTTGGAAGACACAGACTGTCACAGCCATGCTATCCCAGAACCTTTGCCAAGTTGTTTATCATGCCACAGAAAACGTTTTTATGGAATTTGCCTATATTTACAAAATTGATTTTCAGTATGTATTTTCTCATGAGTAACAATTCCATGGCTCTAATACCTGAAAAATGCAGTGTTTTTTTCCTGTGGTTTCCTCTTTCAAACCCAACGTGGATTCTTCTTTGCTGCAAGACCTGGGATTTGGAGAGTGAACATCAAATTAGCCTGTGATTCGCCTCCTGAAGCCCAGATGCTCCAGATACTGGAAGATGGAAATTTCACATTTGTGCTGTGAGAACCTGAGCCGGTCTTGAAGGCTTTATTTTTGGATTGCTTCCTTAACTTTTTGCAGGTCAGCCCTCTATCTCAGGGTGGTTCAACCTGTGTATTTCCCTGTGGATAAAGTTCTGGACATTCTGTGTAGCACAAAAAAAAAAAGACCCAGAGTCAGATACTGGGGTTTAAGCTTCAAGCTGAAGATCACAGAAGCCAAGCAGCCAAGTCAGGTGCTGAGACTGAGCCTGGGCACAGCCAACTCCCTGTGAGCGTCAGCCACAATTCCTACTTAACTGCAAAGACTGTGTACCCCCTCCTTACTTGGCTGTTATGGTCTTCAAATGGTGAGCTACAAAAGCAATTTTTCTTGGGGTGCTCATTAATTAGATTTGCATCTTGTCTACCTGGATCAACTACAAACAAACGGAACCCATTAACTTTGTAAAATTTAATATTTGTCTCTCAGGCTTATTATGGGCAATACTCTAAGAGTTAGTGACAGGTGTTTCTTACAGTGTTTGAGGAATGGTCTCCTATGAAATTCTCCTTGTAAATGATTTCTTTTAGAATTCTAAGCCCTAAAGCTATGCTTCCCTTGTGTACCTGTGAATACTTTCTCCTTCGTCATCATGGCAATTGTGTAAATGGTTGTGAATCCCATTATGTTTTAGTCACTAGAAAACTTGGAACTAAGTTCAGAGTTATAATATTTATGCCGGCTGTTCTTTTTTACATCCATTCTTCTACCTTAATAGGACTCGGTTTTCTTGCTCCGTTGACCGACTGGTGATTGATTGATTGAAACCAGGACTCCCTGATCACAGGCTGGCTTCAAACTTACTGTGTGGCCGAAGATGACCTTGAACTTCTGATCTTCTGGCTTCCACCTCCCAAGTGGTGGGTTATAGTCCTGTACCACGATGCCTGGTTTATATGGTGCTGGGGATGGAACCTGACGTGAGCTGTGCAAGTGCTCTCCCTACTAATCTAGAACCTCGGTTTCTTTATTCCATTCTTTATTCATATCTTGCCACTTATGTTCATGTTGTAAGTGATTCTTTGTGATAAGATAGAATATAAATAACACTAAATTTGTAGGGTTTTCAGAACGTTATGAATTTTTACCACCAAAGTCCTTTTAGAATATAATCTCAGTGCAAAAAAAAAAAGACATTCTTCATTGTTTTCTCAGCTTGGCATGTTCTGGAATGCTCAAGTGTCTTGGTCATGCACTGTTCATTTTGTTTCAGAGTCAACTGTAATAGCCTTTAACAAACCTTCATGAGGCATGTATTCTGTGGTATGCTATTCTTGTTTAGAAAAAAAATGGTTTGTGGTCAAGTCAGTTTGGAAAACGCCCAGTGAACTTAATTACCTCATTGTTTTCTAGAACCTTTATTTTCTTAACCATTCTCTAAGAGGAGACAATGCAGGGTAGAATTTAAGTGGCCAAGAAACACCCCATTGCCTTCTTCCTCTGTGGTTGTTTTCTTACCTGAAATTCCAATACTTTGGGTCTGTGGGTCTCTGGGTCTCTCCGCCACAGGGTAAGGTTGGGAATGGTTTTTGTTGTTGTTGTTGTTGTTGTTTCATTTAAGGTTGGTGCTTGTTCATGAGGTCCATAAGAAAAGAAGGAAAGGGCTAATGTTAGTGTCTGAATGTGAATTGTCTCCCACAGTCCCATGGTGTTGACGTGGTCCCCAGTCAGTAGGACTATTTTGGAGTCTCACTGAAGGACTTGAGACTCTTGACAGTCTCTGAGTTTCACCTTGGCCCTGCTTCCTGCCAGATCTCAATTTCCTGGTCCAGGGACAGGGTGTCACACTTGTGCTGTCACAGCTGTGAGCCCCTCCCTCTGCTGTGCTCTCCACTGTGCCAGGGGCTGTACCCTCAAGCTGGGCACCCAAGCAAGCCTCTCCTCCTTTTAAGACGGCTTGTTGTTGGGTATTGTTATTCAGCAGCGAGAAAAGTAATAAACACAATTGCTCACCATCAGTTAGGAGTGTTCCTAAGGTGAGGAGTTGTAAAGACATTTTAATTAAGAAAATAGGATTATAGGCTGGGCAGTGGTGGCACACCAGCACTTGGGAGACAGAGGCAAGAAGATCTCTGGTTTAAGGTCAGTCTGGTCTACAGAGTGAGTTCCAGGACTGCTCAGAGAAATCCTGTCTCTACCCACCCCCCCAAAGGATTATAGTAATAATAGTCAATTATTTGAAGGTAAATGCACATTTTAAATGAGGTACCTTCACTTTTTTTCTAAAATCTATTAGTCTAGGCAGTAGATGTTAGACTTTAATGTTAGACAGAGCCAGTTAGATATGAGTCTATGGATAGACTTAGAGGGATTCACTGAGAAAATGTTTTGACTGACATGCTTGGGAAATAACTACTTTTAGGTACATTTCTGCATATATAACCTTCAAATACCAGACACAGTTTTATTAAGATTGTCAAGTCTAATCCATCATCAAGTTGTTCAGAAAGACATTTCACCTTGATTTCCTTTTTGCTAAAGCAGAATAAAAAGATAACACTAAGTGAGCCATGGAGAATGAGCGTCTTGTGTCTATCTTTGGCTGCACGCTGTAGCAGCACAGCGCCAGAATTCTAGATTCCTCTTTTTGTAAGATGTACATTGTCACCGAGTTGACGGCTTCTTTTTTTAAAAAAACATATTCATTTATTTTTACTTATGTGCATGTGAGGGTCTATGCACTGTGCGCGCTGCAGGTTTTGTGCAGTGGGAACATTGCAGAGGACAGAAGAGGGGGTTGGATCCCCGGAACTGGAGTTATAGATGTTTGTCAGCCTCCACAGAGTCCTGGGAACCGACAGGTCCTCTGGGAGAGCAGCCAGTGATCTTAACTGCTGAGCTGTATCTCCAGCCCTAGTGGACAAGCTCTTGCAGCAAAGCTATCCATCATAACTTCTAGCATGAGTTTCTTGCCTCATATTTACAAAGTCTTTGTGAATATATCACCTTATTCATTATGACAAGAGGGATCAAGAGAGCCTTGGTAGACCCAGTTCTGCATGTATGCAGCTAAGGGTTAAAGCTATGGACTCAGACAGATCTGATTTTTAAATTCAGCTCTGACACTAACTCTACAACCTTGAGCAGGTCACCGAGTTGCTTGAGTCTCACTCCTGTTCTCTGTGAAATGACAGTAATAACAAAATCTAATCTATAAGGTTTTTATAAGGATTAAACCATAACCCAAAGATCTTAGTGGATAGTAAGTGCTCAGTAAATACATTATTATAGAGAATTTAGAAGAAAATGAAATTCAAGAAGAGTCATCTGTCCAAGGTGACAGAAGCCAGGACAGCGACAATTCCATCTCCCATGTTCTTATTCACAGTAGAAAAACCATCGGGGCCCTGGACTGGGTCTGCCGCCTGTCTTTGTACCACTGCTGGCCCTGCCCGTCAACATTCTAGCGCCAGCTCTACCACTGTATCTGGAGACAATGTGTGTGGGGTGGAGGACTGGGGCGGGGTGTGTCTGAGGAGGAGTAGCTACAAGTTGAAACCCAAGTGTGGCCACTTAGGATGAGCTCAGGTCAATGGTTCCTAGTCACTGTGAGAATTGTGTCCACCGAGATGGTGTTCACGAAGTGAGCAGGTGGATGTTAGCTCGTGCTGAGGAGTCATCATAGGTTAAGCCCCTGCTCTGCATCGATTTGGAATGGGCCCGGCCCATAGCCAGCAGGGTAGAGCCACAGACAAGCTGTGCTTATTCCCTCTGCTCAGAGGTAAAGAAAGAAGCAGAAAGGCTTTCTCGTCCCCAGTATTTGAAACAACCATGCTTATAAACTTTATCTACATAATCCAAAATAAAATATTTAAGCTCCTTAATAGGCTCTTAGAAGCAAAGGTTTGGCAAGCTCTTCTGTATGTTTACTGCATCTTGGATTTGTAGTTACAGTAAGCCAATGGGTATTTTTAGATGGAATTTAAAGTTTACACTTACACATTAGATGCATAAAAGAACACCAGAGAATAGCGTATTCCCAGGATGCCCTGCCAACATTTGCTGTTCCCTACTGTCAATTGGGAACAATCAGGTGTTATAAAACTGGAATCTTGGACTCTGAGACTGGGGAAAGGGGAGTGTCCCTGGAGAAGAGGCTGCCCAGCATAGAGGTTGGAACTGAAGGTTGAGGAGGAGTCAGGAAAAGGACAGACTGTAGACCACAATGGGTGTGATGGTCAATAGTCATTCCAGCACATGGGGACCAGGCAGGAAGGCAGCAGTGGGCTGAGTCGCAGGTTATGCTGGGCTACACAGTAAAATCCTGAAATAAAAAGGAAATGGGGGAAATAGAATAGACTCAATAACTACCAGGTATCAGAGCACATATACCATACAACAGAGTGGTAAATCTTCTTCTCCAGATCTATGGGAATATACGTGTCTCCTTCCCTCTTGACTCTCCTATGGCCTCTGGTAAAACCATGGCTATTGATATGTTCCATTTTATGTGGCTGTTGTCCTCAGCCGGAATGAAGTCCTCAAGAAATATGAACCCTGTATTGGTCAGGAGAGACGAAAGGAATTCATGCAGCAGCAAGGTTGGGACTTAAGATGCCTAGACCCTAGGTGTCCTCTTCTGTATGGTGGTCCATGAGTGCTACAGTGAGTGTGTTAGGCACCTAGTGAACAGTGTATTCAGTAAGCTTGTTTCTTCAGATCTAGTCAGGGGCTTTATGAGATTCCATAGTCATTATCAACAGGCTTTTATGAGTTACTTAATATGACCATGGAAGAAGTTGTTGTTATACTCATTGGATGGGTATTTCTCAATGAGGAAAGGGGAAAGTTGCTGAGGCCATTATAGATGCTATCCCAGAGCCTGGGCACACATGGCTAAGATCTGGACTATGAGGTCATTTAGTTGACAGCATGGAAACCTCGAGAGCAGACATGCTTTCTTTAATCTCAGTAGATTTTTCTCTGCAGTGTTGTTCTCTATTTCAAGAGAAGTCCTGGCTGGAGGTAGTTCTCCACTAAGCAAGGATTTGGACATTGAAGTTCCTTTTATCTCTCAGAGCCTTCACCTTATCTTTCTGTTCATTTGTTTAAAGTCTATGGGGGTAGAATGAGCATGCAGGTGGGGTGGGTTGTATGTTAAGCCAGGTGTGTGTGTGTGTGTGTGTGTGTGTGTGTGTTGCATTGACTTGAAACCGTGAGACTACATCTTATTGCCATGTAGTCGGGAAGCCAGGAAATGGGGCTAGTGCACTGTCTAGCATGGAGAAGACAACAAAGAGCAGCGATGTAGCCTTGGCTAGTAAAATCTTAAGGTGCTGTGCATGTGACTCACTCATAAAGTGCTTTCCTAGCACTCATGAAACCCTGGATTCAACCCACAGCACCACATAAAGTAGACATGGTGGCATGTGCCTGTAATCCCAGACTCAGGAGGCAGGAGGACCATCTTCCTATACTGCACAGCAAATGTGAATCCAGCCTGAGTTGTAAGAGACTCTGTCTCAAGTCAGGTCAAGTCAAATCAAAATGAATTTATTTAATTCATCTTTTTTTAAACTTAGCTCAATTTCATGTCAAGTCAATGGGCTTTGCAGACCTATGCAAGGCTCTGTGAAGACACCAAAGGGAGAATTGGGTCCAGCTCTATGCTTGCCTTACCTTGAGGAATGGTGGTGCCAGGGAGAGAACAGCTGTGTATAAAGAAGTGTGAGGAAGGATGGGCGGTTACTAGGCAACAGAGGAGGCTTCAGAGGCTCTTGGGTTAGGCGTCAGTAGAGCACGAGTGAGAGATGGAGCTTCAAAGCTTGTAGCAATCAACATTAGCCTCCAACACACGGTGCTCCAAGCTTGATCCCTGGACCCAGAAGCTCCTGTGTCACTTCATTAGAGTCCATTGAGTACAAAGCCCCGGGCAGAATCTAGCAATCTCTGCCTTAGCAAGCCTGCCAGGCTAATATGTAAAGTTAGAGAGCGTGGGGCTCATACTTCATATTTCTTTTGTTGCTATGATACGATACTCTGACAGAAGCAAGTGAAGAAAGGCTTGGTTTTATCTCACAGTTCAAGTTGCAGTCTATCATGGGAGTCCAGGATTCTCTTCCTAGGGGCTGGTCCTTCCTACAATTAAAGATAGGCCTTTCTGCATCAATCAGTGTAACTAAGAGAAACCACGCGTATCCATCTCCAGATGACTTAGTCAAGTTGACAATTAGCACTACAACCATAGTGAGCTTTATCTATGGTCAGCTCAACAGTTATGTCTTTGTCTCTGTGTTTAGATGTTCAGGTCTCTCTCTCTCTCTCATACATGTTTACAACTCTGTGGAAAAATCCCAGGTTGAAGAGATAGTGTTTTCCAACAAAAAACTCAGCTGGGACCCAACGCCACCACTGACTAGTTAAAAAAAAGCCACTCAGTATTATAGACGCTAGAAGCACCAGGGTCTCCCAGACGACAAGAACATTTTAGAGTGTTCAGCTGAGGAGGTGACAGAGCTGAGATTCAGAAACAAGGGTGTCAGCCTCCCAAGTACCTCCTGGTCTCTAAGACAAGCTGCCATCTCTGCTCAGCCCCATCCCAGTTAGCCACTCCCATGATGCCCCAGCACCCCATGATACTGGCCTCTGACACTTGCTATAAGCGTACATTTGAGCGAAGGTATGATATGCAGTGACGTCAGTAATAGGGCCTTCATGGGGATAACGAGGAGGCTCAGCAGCCAAGAGCACTGGCTACTCTTTAAGAGGACCCAGGTTTGCTTCAGAGTGCCCACACAGGGGCTGGCAGCATCTGCAATGCCAGTTCCAGGGAATTCAGTGCTCCCCTGGCCGTTGTGGACCATGCATGTGCATACATATGCAGACATACATGAAGGCACAACATTCACACACATTGCATGAAAATAAAAGCTTAAAACAAAGTTTTCAATAGAGGGCCTTGCCTTTTTTGGTATCATAGCGGCTTAACTGTAATGGTGGTTAGTTGCTTACCCTGCACCAATGTTATGCAGTGCAGTGAAGAATCTGTGTGCCACAACATATGAACTCCAGTTCCCATGTGAAATTGCAAGGGTATAACATGGTATGGGCCAACTGTGAGATCCAGTACCAGTTGTTAAAACTCAACGCTTTACAATCTCCAACTGTCGTGCCAATCTAAAACAAAACTAATTTGAATAATTGTTGGAAATATAACTCATATAAGTTAATGTGACTTCTTAAAAACATTTATTTATTTATTGTGTGTGTGTGTGACTACCGGGTGTGTGTGTGTGTGTGTGTGTGTGCACAGGTGCTGTGGCATGTATGTGGTGGTCAGAGGACAACTTGTGGGGATCAGCTCTTTCTCACCACAGTGTGGGTCCCAGAGATCAAACTCAGATCCTCAGGCTTGGAGGCAAGCGCTTTTTCTGATAACCCATCTTCTCACCAGTCAAGGTGAATGCAGTTGATTTAGGTTTTGGATATATTTGGGTAGGTAAATGGGCAACTCATTCCCAGTTTTCAGGTAGGAAAAAAGACCACGAGTTCATACTTGATAGAAAAAAACCAAAGAAACAGGAGTTTTATATTGTCTTTAGGTTTTCACTTATGGCAGAGTTAGGCAGGAAGCAGCCTATCATAACTCAAGCTGTTTGGTGTAATTATCCTTCATCTGCTAATTTCTAGGAAGGAAAAATATGATTTAAATGTGTTTCCGTGCAGCTGTTGATTAGACATAATGGCAGAGTGATCATGGGCGAGCTGAGAGAGTGGAGCTAATGTCGGAGCATCATTGTCTGAGGAGCCAAGGGCTCCAAAGCCAGAAACAGCATCTAACTAACCAATGGTTCCCACACGTGCTCCCTCTTTGTCTGTACTTCAGTGTCAATTAAACAGAGCAAACTCTGCCAGTTAATTATATCAATTTTGAGGTCAGCTCCAACAACCCAAATCTCTGTGACAAACAAACCACAATTTTGAAATCTTTTTTTTTTATCAACACATGGCCAACCATCATACTAAGAGAAGCTGCAAGGCATTTGTCAACATACCAATACATTCTAAGTAAGTCTTGAACTTTGATGGCTTCCTCTGCTCTGCTCCCAAGTGCAAACCTCCCCATTCTATGAAGCAGGCTCAGTGGCTGCTGCCATTAAAGTTCTCCAAGGAACAACGCTTCACAAATGTCTCAGCATGGCTGGAAAGCAGGTGGGTGAGCTCACAAATGGAACAGCACCTGGTTTCAACCCCCCAGGGTGAACACAAGGGGCTCTTTGGAATGCTCGATAACACAACTGTGATCATTCTTTGTTACCCAGAAGTCCAAAGTTAGCAGAACTCATGGAAAGGTAGGAATGCTCAAGCAGAGGAAGGATGAATGGAGTAAGGGCTTGTCTTTCACTGACTGAAGACCACCAGACAAATTCCACTGGCGCTGTAGCTACAATCCAGTGGGAATCATTGGAGGGACAAAGGGACTTGCTATCAGCAAGGGAGGGATGGCTAGATGCCCAATTGTGGACAGAACTATAACCCAAAGGTATGTTCTACTGGGGTCACAATAACCTCTGTCAGATTCTCAGCACCCACATGGTGACTCCCAACCTTCTGTAACTCTGGTTCCAGGGGATCTGATGTCCTCTTGTGGTCTGCATGGGCACCAGACACGCATGTGGTACACACATGTATGTTCAGACAAACACTCACAGGCATAAAGTAAAGATAGTAACCCTTTAAGTTCCTCAAATCTTTCCCAAAGTTCTGCCTGAGATTGCCAGACCCCCTCCACCAAGTGGACTTTGGTGTTTTATGATGTCAGGTTAATCCAGGCAAGTTGTCTCCAAATAACCACTCCTATACTCCAGAGTCTCTCGTTTTATTTTAACCTCAAAGTCAAATATGTAGTGGTGTCACTGGCCTGTGATCTCAGCACTTGGGGAGCTGAAACAGGAAGGTCAATAAGTTCAAAGCCAGCCTGAGCTCCATGATAAAGCCCTGTATAAAAACAAAAGAAATAAAGCTGCCACCAGCAAAGCAAATGTACCTTTTTCTCTCAAGAGCCACTGAGCCCCACCTTCTAACTAACCTGCTTTGACATTTTGTGTGTTTATTTATATTGTAATAATGTGTAAGTATGCGTATCTGTGTGTGGGTGTGTACACATGAATGCTCTGAGTACCCACGGAATACAGAAGAGGACATCAGATCCCTTGGAGCAGCAGATGTCAATTGCCTGATTTGAGACCTCAGAATTGAACTCAGATCCTTCTGTGAGAGCAGTAAGGGTTCTTAACCACTGAGATACCTCTCCATCCTCTGCTCTGACATTTTGGTAGAAGAAAGTTGACTATGAATTGCAAAGTCATCTAACCACTTTCCCACTATAAGAATATGGCAATTCATTAATCTCTATTCATCAAGAAATAACATTCCACAATGTTGAAGCCATTGCTTTATGACAATACTCCCCTAAGATTACTTCTTAGAAAATTCACACTTCTAATTCTGGTCATCTTGACAGGAAAAGATGAATGATCTAGTATTTGAAACTTTCGTTTAGAATTAAGGGGTTCTGAAATGTTTTCTTTCTGGGAAAAAGATGGGTGCAAGCTCTAACTATGGGGCCAGTGACAGGGCTCAACCGTTAAAGGTGCCTGCTGCCAAGTCTGATGAACTGAATTCAATCCCTGGAACTCACATGGTGGGAGAAAGCCCAACTCCACAGACTGTCTTCTGCTCCCTGCACGCTAGAGCATGAGTGCATCCACACAATTGATACCTGCACACAGAATAAGTGTATTAAAAATAATGTAACTAAGAGGAGTCAGTGGATAAAGACTTCACAGGGAGGGGCAGGAACCAAAGGAGAGGGACAGACGCTGTGGCAAACTCTGACTTAGAAGGATATAGTAAAGAGATCGTCTTGAAAGATATTGGTTGTTTTCCTCAGCGATGCTCACAAGTTTGTGAGCCTCATTACCCACTCTCTCAGGAACAGGAGGATGGTTAGGCCCTGGGAAGGAGGATCATATATGCTCCTTCAGGGTTTGGCACCAGATGATTGAAAATGAAAGTGTGTGGCTGAGGGGAAGGTTTCTTTCACTCTAGATATTATGGAGAGTACAGCCTCAGGCATCTGCAAGAGCCCAGAGCCCAGAGAGAAAGTAGTAGAGTAAACAGGACTAGGCCACGAACCTGGCCACGGGAGGAGGTGGGGGAAGAGTTAGAGAGGAGAGAAGAAAGGAGAGAGGGCCAGAGTCCACAGCAGGGGGAGAAAGTAGCAGACTACACATGACCAATCCTGAATCAGGCCATGAGAGGAGAAAGTGGGGACAGTGAGATGAAGAGAAAGGAGAAGAGAGAACCAAGGAGACCAAGAGGACGAGCGGAGAGAGAGGGAAGAATGAAGAGAGTGACCAAAATGACAGGTTTGTATAGGAACCAGAAGCTGGCCTTAGGGAAGCAGGCAGCGAGAGAGAGGAGTGCTGGGAGGAGCCACAGGTACAAAGTGAGCCTAGAGGCCAAGCACTTTCGGTATAGGAGACACCACAGTTCCGGTGCTCCTCAGTCTTGGTCCAGGAAGAAGACAGCCCCATCCTTTGTGTCTCTTCTAGAGCGATAGCTCTGCCTGGTGTGGGGTTCCTGGCACTGTGCCAGGGAGTAGTGCTGGGGAATCCCACCCTCCCACGGCTTCTCACCCGCCTCCATTTCCATGTGCACCCTTTGGATTATTTCAAGGTCACCTCAGGTACCATTCTAGGGGCATAGTACTAACACTGCTGTGGAGGGCAGCATTGAGATTCCTGTTTCAGCCTCCAGCCTTGAAGACTCACAGGAAGTCGTGAAGTGCCACGGGACATCCAGGGTCTTCCGATACACTGTACAACCTTTACTTCTCTCCATGGCCACGTGCTATCTTCATTCCCTGGATTTCCCAAGCTGGCTCAGTTTTGATGCTCTGCGAAAGACTTTTGCCATTACCAAGCAAAGATGCTGAGGTGTATGGAGACACCGTAGGGATGGACTTGGATATGATATGAGAACAGGGTCCTGACACTTCTCTGCATGATCTTGATATCCTACAATGAAAACATTTCAGTTCATAGACTGGATTTTTATAACTGAGGGCAAGACAGGGTGGGGCAGTCAAGGCTGATGGCAGAGAGAAGGGAAAAAAGGGAGACTCATGGTGGCAGTGCACCTGGTGTGTGTGTGTGGTGTGTGTGTGTGTGTGTGTGGTGTGTGTGTGTGATGTGTGATGTGTGTGGTGTGGTGTGTGTGGTGTGTGTGTGTGATGTGTGGTGTGTGTGGTATGTGTGTGGTGTGTGTGTGTGGTTTGTGTGTGGTGTGTGTGGTGTGGTGTGTGTGTGATGTGTGTGTGATATAGTGTGGTGTGTGTGTGTGGTGTGTGTGTGTGGTGTGTGTATGATGTATGTGTGATATAGTGGTGTGTGTGTATGATGTGTATGTGATATAGTGTGGTGTGTGTGTGTGATGTGTGTGTGATATAGTGTGGTGTGTGTATGATGTGTGTGTGATATAGTGTGGTGTATGATGTGTGTGTGATATAGTGTGGTGTGTGTGTGTGGTGTGTGTGGTGTGTGTGTGATGTGTGTGTGATATAGTGTGGTGTGTGTGTGTGGTGTGTGTGTGTGGTGTGTGTATGATGTATGTGTGATATAGTGGTGTGTGTGTATGATGTGTATGTGATATAGTGTGGTGTGTGTGTGTGATGTGTGTGTGATATAGTGTGGTGTGTGTGTGGTGTGTGTGATGTGTGTGTGTGATGTGTGTGTGATATAGTGTGGTGTGTGTGTATGATGTGTGTGTGATATAGTGTGGTGTGTGTGTATGATGTGTGTGTGATATAGTGTGGTGTGTGTGTGGTGTGTGTGGTGTGTGTGATGTGTGTGTGTGATGTGTGTGTGATATAGTGTGGTGTGTGTGTATGATGTGTGTGTGATATAGTGTGGTGTGTGTGTATGATGTGTGTGTGATATAGTGTGGTGTGTGTGTATGATGTGTGTGTGATATAGTGTGGTGTGTGTGTGTGATGTGTGTGTGATATAGTGTGGTGTGTGTGGTGTGTGTGTGAGTGAGTGTGTGATGTGTGTATGATGTGTGTGAGTGAGTGTGTAATATATGTGTGTGGTGTTTGTGTGAGTGAGTGTGTGATGTGTGTATGATGTGTGTGAGTGAGTGTGTAATACATGTGTGTGGTGTGTGTGAGTGTGTGATGTGTGTGAGTGAGTGTGTAATACATGTGTGTGTGAATGTGTGATGTGTGTATGCGTGCACCTCTATCTGCTTCTTCCCTTAGACTTTCCATAGCTGCTTCTCTGCTATCACTTTTGACTGTGGCTGAGGATTTTCCCTTCTGCTTTATTAGGCCAATAAGTCAAACTCACACATCTAGACACAGAGCTGGACCTCTGTCTTTTGGAATAGAGGAGCTGGTCTTCCTTCTCCAAAAGGCCAATTTCTGCTGTGCCCTTGGCTCAGGATCCTGTTGCCTTCCTGGGGATGTGGTCCTTTTGTTTTGCTGTCTCTTCTCAGTGGTCAGCCTCTCCCTCCTTACCACACTGTTGCCGCTGGTGGACAGATGTGTCTTGAGAAAAAGCCACCTCTTTGAATCCACATCTCTCTTGCTGCTTCCCTGTCTCTCTTACTATGTGGATGGCGGGAGCAGAGTACTTCCGGCTTCTGAAAGGACTGAAAATGTGTTTCTCTTGGTGTAAATATGAATGTATTTTAAGTGTAGCGGCCACTTCTAAACAAAGAAGGCTGTCTAGGCTCCGTGTTGTAGGGCTGAGGTGGTCTTGAGAAGGTGACGCATTTGTTGTTACCCCGTGTTGTTTCTGTGTTTGGCAGCAAACAAGAGGGATGTGACCCAGGGGCTGAAACGAGTAGTAGATGACCTGCCTCACGGTTCCGAGTAGAGGGCGGGGTGGATGCCCATGGTGCTTCCAGGCCTTTCTGTCTCTGTTCTAAGACTGCCATTCATCCACTTTACTGAAACTCGGCTCTGTAGCTCCAGCCCTGGTGTCTGTGTTTCAGACCGAGCTCAAAAAGGGCAAAGAGTACGATGAAGTGAGGAGTGCTGGCTGTGCCAGAGGCTTTGGAAAGCCTTCTCAGGTCTCGAACTGGTGAAGCCCACTTATATTTCACTGGCCGGTGTGGACTCCTTAGCTATAAGGGAGAACAGAACAACGGATATTTTAGTTTTCTGGCTTTTTAGGCAGAGAAAAAGGAAGTTGGGCTGTGGGTGGCTTTGGTAGCTGTGTGCTGTTTTTGCCATGCAGCCATGCCTCTGAAGCAGCCCTGCTGTCCATCAGAGCACCCCGGGGAGCGTTTGAGATGAATGGCCAGGCAACCCTTGGGCCAATTAAATTAGGTCACTGGGTAGGAGACATCATTGGTAACTTAAAAAGGACCTTTAAGCAACTTCAGTATGTAGCCAAGAACTAAAATTTCTTCTCTAAACGCTGCCTCAAGTATTAATTCTGACCCAAATTCTCATTGGAAACTAGCGATGCATTAAAAAGTTCTAGCAATGGAGGGCCTAATTGATCAAAGAAAGAGAAATGCTTAAGGTGAGCTCTAAAGCCAGTGATGAGCTGCACCCTCCCTGCCTCCCAAGCAGTAGCAGCCCTTGGTCCTTTCCCATCACTCCCAGCCAAAAGCAGATAAACCTGTGGGGTTCGGGAATATTTCACTCGATCCCAGCTGCACCAAAGGTTGACCAGAGCGGGTAACCTGGTACTGCAGTTTCGTCCCCTCCACGCCAGTGACGAGGCTCAGCTGACATCCAATTTGGGACAAGTGTGTAGTTTGAATGTCGGTTTAATCCCAAGCCACTTCTGACTGAATAGGATGCTTAGGTTTGAATGCTGGGACTCTCTCTCTCTCCAAGTCTCCCTTACTAAACTGCAGACACTATGCCCTGGGTGTGCAGCTGCCAAAAGCCCAGCACTAAAACGCCCTCGTTCTTCTGGGAGCTTTGTTATTTTAAAGCCAAACAGCTGGTCTGTCTGAGTCCCTGGTGGTGTCAATTAGCGTGGGGTTTTCCAGACACTGAGCACTGATCGTTCATCCAGACTGAAGCTTGGGGGGGTGGAAGGACTGGTCCAAGGTCACTCACGCTTCAGCACTGGGACCCCAGGACCAAGCTTGAGATTAAATGGAATGGATGTTTTATACAAAGCAGAAATTAAACACACATGTCCAAAGACACATCAGCATCTAATTATTGTCCTCTACCCTTTCAGGGTCCCAAAGCAAGCCCATCTTGCAGGAGCAACTCAGCTAGTAAAGGGAACTTTCCACTGCAGCCAGAGCTGTGTGCTACCCCGAAGCCCCAGCAGCGCCTCCCGCAGCCTGGGTTCCCCGGATGCTGGGCTGAATGCATGCCTGCAAGCCTCTGCTCCGCTGCCCAACGTTCAGAATGCCTCAGCAGAGTTGTGTGCATTCCCAGTGAAGCAACAGGAAATCAGCTATCTTTCGGACTTACGTGGACGGGACTGTGGTAGCTGGAAGTCATGACGAGGGTTTACGGTAATGTGCTCTCAAAGTTCAGTGTCGTGAGTTCTCTAGGTGACTGCAAAATGATTGATTCTGAAAATGAACACTGAAGAAAAAAATTGATTTCTTTGAAGTGAGCGGACCATTAATTCTTGACCTTGGAAGCTCTAAAATGTTTTAAAAGAAGTTGACTTAGCAGTTACTTCATTTTATGGAATTAACTCTTTTTCCCCCTTCTTTGGTTGAATTATCTTTTGGGGGGCCTAGCCCATGAACTTCAGAGGTCCCAGGAAAACCAGATAGGGCTGGCTATTCATCCTGATGTCCCATCATGCCTTATGTGCACCTGCACTGGGTTTGACGTCCTGGCACGGGGGTTAGGGGTGGTACACTGGATCTAGGAAAGCTGCCTCCCCAGCCACCCTGGAAATGGATGGAGCCCTTGGTCTACTGAGAGCTCTTTACTGAGGCTGACGGCCATGGAATCTTGGGGCTGCCTGCTGTACCTCCCTGACAGACACACTTGTTGCTTGGGTCATGCACATGCCGCTGTGGGTGGGGGAGGGCTCTGCTTGATTGGCTAGGGTGACCCTGGGGGAGCTCTGGTGACACTTTAGCCTCTATTAATTCTGCTTGAGAGTGTTCATTGCACCTTTACTGAAACAATACTGAGTGGTTGTCTACAGAAGTCAGCAATGGTCTAGAGAGCAATTGCAGGCTCACACGCCATCATTTATTTATGTTTTGTTACAAGTCAAATGAGCAAGCTGTTCGAGCATATAAAGACTGATTCCAGAGCTCTTTAGGCTCTGCCCTGAAAGTTAGTAGTGTCTGGCCAGCACCATCACCCCGGCCCTAGACCTTTCTCTAACTTCACCCTAACTGCCCAGTATGTGTGGGAACCTTACCAGTAGGAACTGCCATTTGGCTATCCTGCTAAACGTCTTGCCTTTGGGAAGGGGTGCGTGTGACCCTTCGGTTAGGGCTCGTTAGCCAGGAAATGTCTGACTCCTGGGTAGCTGTGGTGCCATTTGGAAGGGAAGGCAGAGCTCTGGATGGGCACGTCCCCTTAGCCTTGTAATTTGGCTCTCAAGGGCTCCAGAGAAGTGGTCCCCCACCTGAGGATGATGCTGTGTGATACAGGCTGGGCGGTCACTCTAAATACCCAAGATGCTTTTTATTTCTGTCACAGGGAATGCTTTGTTGTTTCTCAAACAAACTGTCATTTTCTAGAACAGACTCAAACCAACTCCTACCACCTCCTATTTTGAATCTTGCTGCTCTTGTCATCGCCCATCTATCCTGGGAGACCATTGGCAGACAGAGGATGTGGCAGGCTGTGGGGCTGATTATTCAGTCTGGAGGAGCATCTCCTCTGCATCCTATCCTCCCTACCCATGAGTGAAGGCAGGCCAATGCTTCAGAATGTTCCCCGTTCCAGACTTTGAGCAATGGCAAAGATACCACGCCCGGAATTCAAACCAAGATGTCAACACCTATGTGGTCCACCGGTAGTGTAACTCCAGCAAACACAAACTTGCCAGGACCAGCATGGCAACTGTTCACCCAGCCACCCTGGCCTAGCAAGAAACAGAGGCTGACCTCAGTATAAGCTGGGAGAGGACGTTCTAACAGCAAGGGAGGGGTAGGGCTCTCTGCCTATTGTATTCCCCAGGCTAGCTCTTGATTGACGGCTGCACTAATTGCAGATTATGTTGCTGATACATTATCCATATGACTCAATTGATAATGTTTTGGCAGCCAAATGCTTTATAACTAAAGACTCCCAAGGTGAAGGTAACCAATTAGGAGACAGCTTCCACGGAAGTGCACACTCTTGTGTGCGTAGACATGGATGTGTGTGGGGGTCAGTGTTGGGGTCTGGCCCTTGCTCTGCACTGCAGAAAGCCTGTCCCCCCACATTTCATTCTACTCTCAAGCTGCCTGTCCCCAGGGGAACCTGATGTACTTGTCTGCTTCCTGCCTCCCGAAGCCACATGCTCAGCACTGACCTTCCGCACTAACATGGAAAGAGCTTATCTTCATTATCTAAGAGTTTCCTTAGTTTAGACCCCGACTCACATAGTCATGTGTTAGTGATTACATGTGAAATACATGTCATTCACTTATTCACACTCATTTATTCTGTTTCTACTAAAGCTGAAGATTGCCTAGTTCACAACTGAGCAGTTGGGCACTCTGCTAGGGTATTTGTCCAAGATAACTGAGTGTGTATGTTTACAAAAAACACATGTGTGGGAATCTTTGTTTTAAAGAGTTACTTTATTTTGAATTATGTGCACATGCCTCCGTCTCTGTGGGAATACATACATGTATGTGTGCAGGTGTCTGTAGAGGCAGAGAGAGCAATGGAACCCCAAAACTGGAGTTACAGATGCCATGAGCTGATGGGGTGCTAAGAACTAAAATCTGGTCTGGGGCAAGGACAACAAGTGCTCCTAACACCGAGCCCATGCGCGGGGTCTTACAGACAACTGCGCATGATTGTCTCACGTCAGAAATGCTCGCAAGACTATCAGGGCACACAGACACACGCGCATACTGTAACCATATACTGTCATACCACCCGGCAGCTGAAAGGGACAAACGGCCGGCACATGTGACAACATGGACCAGTCTCTGCTGTAGAGCCCAGGGCAACGTGGTATACGCCTGCCCCTCTGCTACACTGCTGCCATGCCAAGGCTTGAGCAGACCCGGGTTTTCAGTTTACCCTAGGGCAGTACCCGAATCCAGGAAAAGAACAGAAACTGAGACCACCCAGGCACCACCCAGCAATGGACCATTAAGGGGAAAGTACCTAACGTTCCAAAGGAAATTCCTAATGTTCCAGCCATTGTAGACATGATCACTAGACATCCTGTGGCCCATAACACACACCCATTCCCTTTCACCAAGACACCCCTAGACAAATGTCAGCCAGCCAAGGGTCCTGAACCTCAGAAATCCCTCACCTCAACCTCTGCTGTGATAAAACCCCACCCCCACTGAGCGCGAGACTCTCTGTGCCAATGTGTTGGACATGCAGAGAGTTCGGGTTCGAACTAAATAAAGGTTCATTGCTTTTACATATAGGATTCAGTCTCCTTGTTGGTTTCAGGGGACCTCCACAGTCTGGACATAACATCTGCCTCCATGTTCAATAAAATAAGCCAGATACTGAAGACAGCATAGACATAGCTATATACCAAGTTCAAAGTAAGTGAAGCAGACTGCTGTAAGTCAGAATGCTGAACAACCCTAAGGTAGTTGGTTATCGACTGAGCAACAAATGAGCAAAATAAGTAGTGATGCCCAGGCTGTTTCTGCCCTGGCTGTCTCCTGCTCGGATGCTGGCCTTCTTTGAACAAGGTTCTAGAAATTTTATTAAGCTTGTTTTCAGCAATGCCTCTACCTTAGGGCACTGTTACCTCTGAAGCACTGGGTAATCTTTAGAACAAGAAAACATTTCGGTTCAAACGCTCGCAAAGCCAGAGCTGCAGTTTGCCATGTGTCTGATGCCTGAGCTGGGAGGACTGGAATCATGCCAGCAGCCCTGAGCATTGGCATGTTCTTCACTCGTTTGCATGTTCTCCATGCCCAGCAGACTCAGAGAAGCCGGGCTGTCCTACATGGAGGTGGGTGTGCCAAAAGTGCTTCGAGAGGCTCCTAAACGGACCAGAAAGGGAAGCTGAGCCAGTAAAGAGATTCCCATACTCGGGGGTCCCTGTGCAGAGAGCAGAACTGTGGCTGAGCCAGGGGCTTGGAAGATAAGGAAAAGTGAGTTTGGGAGAAAAGGATCTACAACTGCTACTCAGTGTATAGGCAGCACCCATATGCGGCTATTTAAGTTTAAACAGTTAAGATGAACTAAAACTAAAATTCAGCCACACTGGTCACATGTGGCTAGTGACCTATACCGCACGTGAACATCATTGTAAGAGTTCTACAGAGCTGCATTAGGTGAGGATCAATTGCTGTAGCAGACAGTGCTCTTCACGGAGCAGCTCAGCATGATGGGAGACATGAAAGGAAGGCAGCCGATAGGTAGGTGGTCAGCTTCCCCAAGAGGTCAAAGTAGATTTGGTTTTCCACAACAACCCACAGTCATTTGAATACAGGCTCTACTCGGAACCAGGCATACTCAGGTTTAGCTACTGTCTTAGTAGGTTTTCTATTACTATTAATAGACATCATGGCCATGGCAATTCTTATAAAGGAAATCATTTAATTGGGGCTGGCTTACGGTTTCAGAGGTTTAGTACAGTGTCATCATGGCAGGACATGGCAGCATGCAGGCAGACACGGTGCTGTAGAAGGAGCTGAATGTTCTACATGCTACTCCACAGGCGGCATAAGGAGAGACTGCATGCCACACTGGGCATAGCTTGAGCATATAAGACCTCAAAGCCCACCCCCTTTGTGATGCACTTCTTCCAGCAAGGCCACAGCCCCTAATAGTGCCACTCCCTGTGGGCCAGGCATTCAAACACCTAGTCTCTGGGGCCACACCTAGTCAAGCCATCATAGCAACTTTTTGAATAAGTGTGCTTGTGAATGAATTGGGTTGGAGGGGTGCCAAGGGATCTGTCTTAGTTAGGGCTTCTATTGCTATGAAGACACACCATGACCAAGACAACTCTTATAAATGAAAACATTTAATTGGAGTTGGCTTACAGTTCAGAAGTTTAGTCCATTATCTTCATGGCAGAGGCATGCAGGCAGACATGGTCCTGGAGAGGGAGCTGAGAGTTTTACATCTTGATCTGCAAGCAACAAGGTGTCCTGAGCTTAGCTTGAACATAGGAAACCTCAAAGCTCACCCCCACACTTTCTCTAACAGGGCCACACCTCCAACAAAGCCACATCTCCAACAAAGCTACTCCCTTTGGGGGCCATTTTCTTGCAAATCACCTCAGGGCCAGAGGAATCTACCAATAGAGATGCTAAGTTTTCATGACTAGCTGCTTGCTGACTAAATGAAAGACATCCCAGGAGGCAATTCAGGATGTGTTAGCAGCTGCAGAATCAATTCAGTCTCTCAAGGTAAAGTTTTTCATCTATTACCATTGTATGTATGTACATGGTGTGTGTGTGTGTGTGTGTGTGTGTGTGTAGGGGCATATGTGCCACAGTAAGTATGCATGTTCAGTCAGAGGATAATTTTGTGAATCTGGTTCCCTATCTCTCCCTTTATGTGGGCAGGAGACTTGAACTCTTACCCTCTGTGCCTTCTCCCTGGCCCTAGGGCTAACTGCTTGTGGAAGGATCACATTTAACTGGCTGCTGGGTCCACAGTCCAGATCCACTCTATCTTCAGTCTCCTTAGCTTCAAGGCGAGGAATTAGGAACAAATCCTATCTCAGGACTTTCCGCTAGCCTGTGATCTGGATACTTAAACTCTACTGCTATTATCATTCTTAAAAGAGTTTTGTCGTCCCCTTAAGGCTCCAGGATCTATCCTGAAGAGGTAGAGGTGACAGACACCAAGGAAAACAATGGGCAGATGCATGTCTGAGCTCATAGGCATAGCGACAGCATGCACGGCCTTCACAAGCCCAAGCCAAACAAGAATCCCAGCATGGAGGAGGGAAGGGGGAGCTGTTGGCATTTGCTTGTTGCTGGGTGAGCTTTGTTCGGAATGATGCTTGGTATATGAACCGAATTCTAGGATGGGCCACTTGCCCAGAAGTAGAAGACCAGTCCAAACTGGACTCTCTCTAGAGAGATAATGAAGCTGGGTGGGTAGGGAGTTGGGGAAAGAAGATGAATATGGTCAAAATATATTGTATGAAATTCTCAAAGAATACATGAAAACATTGTCGTTGCTTTTGATAAAAGCGCTTTGTTGTCACATCTCGAAGCTGCAAGGAAAGCCGAAAATGACAATGTCAGCCTATAGGTTTCATCTCCCAAGCCGGCTTTTCTTATTTAGTAGTATTTCCTTGGATAACTATATGGAAGACTTTGAGAGTAATATTCGAGCTGAGTGGAAAAAAGTGTCCTGGTTGGTTAGTAATGTCTGCCTCAGGGATAGGACAGTAGCATACATGGACACGGGTCACCCAACACCCATTCTAAACGCTCTCTCCCGGGCACAGACCTGTTGGACACAGTGGATAGCTGTTTGCCTGGGTTGCTTTGCAGCTAGGGACGGTGGTGCCACACAGTTCCTGTTTGGATGTGAGTTTGCAGCTAGGCAGCCTTCTTGTGACCATGAGGAATATTTGAGAAACCAGAAAGGCACAACCTGTAAATGCTGCAGAGCACAAGTCACTGCCAAACAGCGGGCTGTCTTCAGATAAGTCAGGTGGGAACTGCTCCCCTATTCATTCTATCCCTCATCTTGGGATGTCTATAACTTTTGGTGGAACTTTTCCCTAACACATCCTACACCATACACCTAGCTTTCCAGGGCCAAATATGAATTATTTCTAGCAGGTCTAACATTTATCATCGCCATCCAGTCTGTTGCTGTTTATGTTTTCCTTCCTCCCATCTGTGGAATTGTGAATTTCTGCTGCTCTACAATTGTCGAACACCAGGAGACACAGAGGCCACTAGAAGCCAGTGTAATGGACACTGACCAAGAACACCAGGAGACACAGTATTCAGAGGCTACTGGAAGCCAGTGTAATGGACACTGACCAAGGACAAACACCAGGAGGGGCGAGGTTCCAGCGCCAGGCCTGTCCTCACTGTGTGCACTGAGTCTCTCTGGACTTCAGCTGCATCACAGGAAATGAGGGGCTGGTCCAGAAAATGCCACGGTGTCTAGCTCTAACTCCTATGGGCTCAAACAGAAATGGGTGAAAGCAAGTTTGTTTCCCTGTTTTTGTCTCAAGATTTTCCCTTGGGCAACTGACATATTTTGACATTAAATATACTTCAATTGCACCATGTTGCCCGAACTCGCCTTTGGCGAGGAAGTGTAGCTTTTCCCTTTGTCCTTGGCAAGAGACAGGCGAGGAGTTTTAGGATGAGACAGTCCTCACATCAGGCACAGATCCTTCTCAGCAATGCTGTCTTGGTGCAGCTGCTTGATGTGTCTGCTCTTTGCTCACCTAACAATGGTGCTAAGCCACCCTGTAGGCTGGGTTGGAAGCCTCCGCAGAGGTTTGGAGTCCTACATAATTCATCTGTTGCACTGGAACCCTACCACACTTCTCATTTGTCTTCACCCTTTGATCTCGGCTCCTGTCCTTCTCTTAGTGCCCAACGGTTCTCCTCTGCTCTCCCTGCAAATCTACTGAGCAAGCCCTGACCTAACTGCAGGCCGCAGTGACTAAGATCTGTGTGTGGGAAGTCCCTCACATACCCTAATATCTAGTCTCAGGAGCTCATGACATGCCTTCCTAATGATAATGCCGGGCCCCCAGAGATACCACCTTCCTCCCCACCCAGGCTCTCAGAGGCAGTCATGTGCAATCACAGATTAGTAGCTGTCCTGTAAACACCCAGCACCAAGGAAAGCCCTTTTTGTTGTCTGTGGACTTTGAACTCCAAGTTCTATTAAGAACTCCAACCATCCCAGCTATATGACCACATTTCTATAGCAACCTCTTCAGGCTCCGAAAGCCAAGCCATCAGGCACTGTGGCTCCTCTGTAGGCGTGGGTGGAGTACTTACCGTCTGACCTTTATGCACCATTACCTGTCTCCTCAAATGTTTAAATTTGCCCATTTGTTACGAGCCAAGAGGAGGAACTGAGCTTAGAAGGTTATTGGGGAACAGCTGTAACACATAACTCAGCTTGTCCTGGTAACAAATTGATTGGGTGTCGTAAATCAACACAGCAGTGCAAGGACCATGGACTTGAGATTTCCCATCTTAGTGGGAAACGCATATGATGTTTCACCTTAGACTCTGCCTTGTGGTTCCCGCACTGTTCACACAGGCCTTTGTCACCCTGAGCAGCAGTCTGGACCTGTCTTCCCTCGAGACTCGGGAGTACCTGGTCCCCTGTTCTATAACTGTCAATAACGGTGTGCTTTCTTACATGTATATGCTTGTAGCTCTGCCCTCTGACAATTTATGTTTTCATACTGTTGCTGGCTTTCTTACCCTCTGAAATAAAAACCACACATAATGACATATATCAATTCTGTATATGCTCAGAACGACTGGTAAGTGTAAGGTGGTTAGCCAGTCTTTGTTTAGCTTAAGTTTCATAACTCTGTCTTGAAAACCAGTATGAACGCTAGATGCACATCTGCCTATCAGGTGTCCTTTTACTCTTTATCTTGATGCCAACTGTATTTCCCATGGACACAGCATCTACACAGATCCTTCTGAGAGCATCTTTACGAAGAGAGGGCAGTTCTATTTTAACACTGTATGTGACTGTATGATTGATAGAGTCATTCCTGTGCAATCTCCAAATGGATGCTTATCACCGGCTAAATGTATCCTATGAAAACTTAAAAAAAAATTGAAAGCACAGCTATGCTTTAGGTCCTAAGCTTCGCATCCTGAAAAGGCTGGCATTCAAGAATGAAGGGTGTTTCTTTCTGACTCAAAAGCCCCATCTCTGCTGCTGGCTCAGAAACCATTTTAGAAGCAAGATGACTCTGCAAGTTGGAACCAAACAAAAGGAGATGGGAAACATTTTGCTGTGAGCAAGTATTTTCTTTCATGCTTTGAAGAAAGACAGCTTCAGCACTCATACAAGATGTGGTATTTTCTCTCTCAGATTACGCCATTTTTTCCCTCCTAACAAGTTGGATAGTGTCTAAATGCAATTTAACGACTTAAATTTCAAAGTAAAGTTTGAAAAATACTGTGATGAAATCACATCAATGCCATGGATATTGTCAATTCCCCCGATTCTAGTCTTGGGCCTGCCATTTAATGTCTTCACTAATCAGTATATGTAGAACTAATCAGGAGGCTAGCTGGAAACTTCAATAAGATTTTTCTTGTCATTGTAAGAACTGCTCAGTGTCAAATAGTGTGTGTACACTTGCTGCAAAAGTATACCACATGGTAAAAGCCACACATGTAGAGTTCCTGAAATATATAAAACCAGTTGTTACATTTGTAAGGCTGGAAAATATCAGGACAATGAATTGATGTAATAAAAATCAAAAGGCATGTATTTTTACAATGATCAGGGCTTCCAAACCAGAGTTTAAGGAGTGGCATTTCTCAGGCTGTGGTGATGCTATAGCCATGAATGTCACAGAGAACATTCCACTTCTGATATTTATAACTTAGTTCAGTCTCTTTCTATTATTTGTATTTAAATATAGAAAGAAATCTTTTCCTGTTTCTCATTCTTTGGATTTCTCTTTTCAACACCCACACAAAACATGAGTCATAAATGAGATTATGAAAACGAATGGTCCCCATCCCCCCCCCGAGAACACACACTGGCTACCCACATGA